TAGCTGGCCATGTGCGATTACATGATCCGACCACAAAATGCATACCCAAATACAACTATCAATTTGTGTCTTTTTAATATTATTTTCTTTCAAATGTTTTACTAACCCCAAGTCTTGCCATCACGTTAGTTCAGGTCTAATCAATTTACTTCTTTTTCCAATAATTATAGCTTGTTGACTTGCTTTTAGTTGAATTAAAAAAGTGAAACATTTGATATTCTTCCGGAGCCATTGGACTCTCCCCGGAATCATTTGGGCAAGGTTGATTAGTATTACTCCACCAACCTAGCCCCGCTTTGCTTCACTATTGCAAGAGCTTCTGCTGGCAAATTAGTTGGCATGATTGCCATCTCCATAGATTACAATAACTTAACTTGATCTTTGCGCTCATGTCTGAGTTATTTATCATTACAGCCTTTATTGTAATTCACTTGGAGTCACTGCTCTCCCTGATTTACTGGTTTGGTGAAGTCAGTATCGACCATCAAGCCTTGTTTGCTTGAAAAAAACAAAAGCATTTTGCTGGCAAAAGGGGGCATGGGTACATCTTCATAGATCACATTACTCAATCCTGATAACTATAATCATGAAGCAGTCAAATACAGGCTTTCATCACACTTTTATTAAGATTAGACCCAAACTGCATGATGCACGATCATTGCGGTTAGAATATGAATAATTGCTTTTTGTTTTATTGTATGGAACGCCATTGAGCGTATAGAATAAATAAATAAATAAATAAAACTCAATGTCTGTGAGGATGTTCGTTTAGTTGTTCGTTCGTTATAGAAACGCCAGTCATTGAACCGATTGAGCTGAAACTTCACACACATATGTTTTCGGTCCCGACGGTGGTTTATGGCTACTTTTTGAGGCGATTCGCACGGTCCTTCTATTGATTTATTGATTTGTTTACTTAAATCTGGGAAAATGAAAGTTAAACGTGCTCCAACCAATCATTTCCCAATAAACATGTAAGTAGGGATAGTAAAGTTCATTCTGATCTCAAGGTCAACAGAATGCAGCGGGTTTGTCTCAAAGCGCTTTTTGCGCATTGTAGAAGTTAGAAAGTGTAAGTATGATCAGCTTCCAGATTTGGAGGTGGGCTGCGGACTTTATTGGTTTTAAGGAAAGCTCAACGAGAAAGTCGAAATACAGTGCTAAAAAGTGAAGCTTTAACAAGTTTGTCCTAAAATCAAGGAAGTGCGCAACCCTCCTCTACACGAATCTGGGAGCCGACGACATTTTGGTGGGTAGGGGAACAAACTCCGCCGGTTTGAGCTCGCCTTTGCTGGCAACTGGTCCTTTTGGAATATTGTTGTTTGTGGTTGGTAGTCCGCGGAGATGTTTCATACTGGCGGATTTCGTTCCCCTACCCCATCTCGGTTGAACTAAAAGTCTCGGAAGAGACCGGGTCATCAGCTAGTATCTTATACATGTGGAGGTTGAGCAGTTGGTGGAAATACTCACAGTGTAGCACTCTAGAGAGAATAAGCCTTTGGCGAAAATTTTTGATTTCTACAATTGCTGCGACTGCACTATTGATTGGTACATGTCCAACAAACCGAAAGAGGCAAGGAAAAGAAGGAGTCATTGGAGATGGCAGTTCTGATAATACGAGTTCGTCAGGTAGAGCGCATGGTGTGCAATACGCATATTAAGTTACAAATGACTTGAGGATGTTTCTTTAATCAAGCTGATCACATTCTCGGCAGCTACCTTCAACACCATCACGTCGGCAAACTCTACAGGTGTCTCCAGTTTTCCTTCCGCTGTGACCTATCCTTCAACGTGTTTGGAAAGTGCGTATACCCCCAGAGGTGATCTCTAAACCACACTCTACACCTGTTATGACTTCACCAGTGCGGCACCTCTGCTTCGCAGAGGCTCGCACTGGCTCTACTTTCTGTATGCCTTACTCATTACCGCATAATAGTGACATTGAAACTCACCGCGTTATGCAGGCTATCACGAATGATTTGTGAACAGCTATTCATTCCTAGAGCTTTTTTGCGTGAGATCGGTATTTTCACGTCAATGAAGCTTTTCTCTGAAGAATAAGTGCAAATTTGAGTAGGTTTGTGGACTTTTTATGGCTTGGTAGTCGCCATAACGGCAATAATCATCGTGGGCTACATCTCTGTGCAAAAATCTTCTCAAATGATCAGGTAAAATCTTGGGAAATTGAGCATATACGCAACTGATTCTTTTTGACGCCATCTTCGTAAAGTAACCAACTTTAGTCGAATTTTTTGGGCTAAAGTCTATGGCTTGTACATTAGCTTGTCAAACATTTCCACGACTTTGCAAAAAGTTTATATACGACCAAATTTTGCTGGGCAGAAGTTAAGTGGACCCGTTTCACGCGCAATTTCTAGGGGATCCACTTATCGGATCCGCTTGTGCTTTTGCGCAAAGGACTTTCCTGCTGCTAGGATGTACTATGCAAAATTTGGGCTCAAGAAGTTGGCTGGAATTCTTCCTACGAATTTCGTGACAGACAGAGATTCACACACACAGACACACACACAAACGTAAACAACCCTTAGCCCGTTATTATAAGTTACCAGTGCGTCACCTCTGCTTCGCAGAGGCTCGCACTGGCCCTATTTTCTGTATGCGTTACTCATTCCCGCATAATAATGACATTGAAACTCACCGCGCTATGTAGGCTTAGGCTATCACGAATAATTCGTAAGCAACCACTCATTCGTAGAGGTTTTCCATGTGAGGTCGGTATTTTCGCATGGATAAAATCTTTCTTAGAAGAACAGATGCAAATTCGAATAGGCTTTCGGAATTTTTATGGATTGGTAGTCGCCGTAAGGACAATAAACATAGTGGGCTACACCTCTGTGCGAAAATCTTCTCAAATAATCAGGTAAAATCTTGAAAAATTGACCATCGAGCAATCAATACTTTTCAGCGTCGTTTTTGTAAAGTAGTAGACTTTTGATCCCTTTTTCGGAGCAAAGCCCATGACTTGCACACTGAGATGCTAAGCACATCCACGACTTTGCAAAAAGTGGTGAAAGTATGAAAGTGGATGATGATGCTTCGCAGAGGATCGCACTGGTCCTACTCTATAGTTTTTGAGCAATATCTCCTCTTAAGAAAGGCAAAGTGTGGTACGTCCACAGCAGGTACTGGCTCTATGCACCTCATGAATATGGTGCCGTGCGGGTCTGCGCGTCCATGCTTGTCCTCAGAGCTAAACAGCGCCCTGCCTCATCTCTCAAATTGCTTTGAACCTCCCCGAAAAATTCTGATCGGGAAGAATATGATGTAAACAACCATTCATTCTGCGAGGTTTTCATGTGAAACCGGTAAAATTAGCGTGGCGAAACTTGTGAACGGTTAGTGTAATTTTGAATCCGTTCTATCAATGCGATGTTGGCTAATTAGAACAAAAACAGATGCACGCTACATTCCCAGCCTAGAATATTTCCAGCTATACAGTGAGTGTTTTGAAAATGAACAGTTGAGTCATCTCTTTTTGACGCCACTTTTGCACGAAATTAACTTCTTGCTATGTATCTGCGATGAATTCCAGGGCTTAGAAGATGTCCAAGTTAAAAGTCTTACAGTTACTGCAGACTATTTGCATTAGGATCTCATTTTTGCCTTAGCAAATGCCTAGTGGATCCGTTTGACTCGCGATTTTTAACCGAAACAGATTCCTTACATAATCAACCTGGGTGCTACTGGCGTGCTATAGCCAAAAAATCAGCTCAAAATATTGGCTGCAGCTTGCGCTATGAAATACACTGATTCGCAGAGGCTCGCTGTGTCCTACTCTGTACGCCTTACTCATTCATGCCTTGTGATGGCATTGAAACTCACCGGACGATGCCGAATATCACGAATAAAATGTAAACAACTACTCATTCCAAAAGCTTTTCCATGTGAGAACGGTAATTTTGAGAGGATGAAATTTTTCGCAGAAGAACAAATGCAAATTTGAATAGGTTCTTGAACTTTTTTCTGGCTAGGTACTTGCTTAAGGACAATAACACTCTGAGCCACATCTCTGTGCAAAAATCTTCTCAAATGCTCAAGTAAAACCTTGGCAAATCGACCATCGAGCAACCAATACTTTTCGGCGTCGTTTTTGTAAAGTAGTAGACTTTTGATCCCTTTTTTGGAGCAAAGCCCATGGCTTGCACATTGAGATGCTAAGCACATCCACGACTTTGCAAAAAGTGGTGATATGGATCCGATATGTGGGCTGAAAGCCAACTGGACCCGGCTGACGCGCAAATTCTGAGGGATCCACTTAACAAATCCGCTCGTGCTTTCGCATGGTGGACTTTTATACTGGTAGCATGCGCTATGCAAGATTTGGGCTCAGGACGTTGGCTGGAACTCGCGCTATGAATTTCGTGACAGACAGACATTCAGACACACACACACACAAAAAACGTAAACACCCTTAGCGCGTTATTATAGTAGGATGATTCTGGAAGAGCTATAAAGGATTTTTGGTACTGCACGCCCATTCAAGTATCAGACTTGCCTCATCACTCCCGTGGTCGACTAGTGCAGTGGATAGTGGCTTGGATTGCTGAGTTGGATGTCGTGGGTTCGAGTACCCTCGCATGCCGCGTGTTTGCCGTTTTTGCAAAATCCTTCATAGCTCTTCCCGAATGACGTCATAGCAGATATGAAGTGCGAGAGATCAGATCCGTCTGGGGACGGTATACGCGGACCGCTTACCCAATCGTCTCTGCGATCAAGTATCCTTCCCTTGTTAGATTTCGACATTATGGGCTCGAGAAATTTTAACATCCCAAAAATTTTTCGGAGTTGGCTAAGCTTCATCTTCATTCAAAAAATTTTGTTGCTCCCTCCCTCCTGCCCGGAAACGGAAGTCTTGGGATCCCCACTGCTAATGTGACATATCAGACGAGATACGTTGCTCATAAGAAGTCCTTTGCTACACAGCTAGCCTTTAGAAGACTCCAGCGCAAAACTTTTTAACAAGATTAGCTACGACTTACATTGCCTCTGACAACAAATCCACAAAACACACGCCCAGAAAAACACCAAAAACAACACATGACAGCCACTGTAAGTGAGATCTGAGCAACGGGAAATGGATCATACCTTCCTGAAAAATGGCTCTTTATATTCTATCTTAAGACATCATACTCACTTTTGCTAAAAAACCGAATGCAACTGTTTGAACTTGATTGACTGTTAGTACAATCCATTTTGTTGGTATATCCGCTTCACTCATTGTCTACCAGAACCCTTTGTACCGACCAGACAAGTGCGATATTGAAATACACTACAACAAACCGTAGATACAATTCACCCGCTACGTGAGACTTTGAGAGTAGCAAATTTTAGCTACGCGGCTGTGAATTGGGGAAGGGGGGGGGGGGTAATGGAACTTGCGAGCAGAACAGCTATTTGTAAATAATAGCTATTACTTTCATTAATTCTATCGCTCAACTGCACCCTTTGAGTAAGGAGGGGTGGGAGTTGAAACACGAGAGAAGGTAATTGAGCATGCTGGTTATGATTATAGGAACCGCTTGAAAATTTATTACTTTTGTCTATCTCCTCGACTATTCATGGAAAAGCTCAGCGTGCTTAATGGACAGAAGTTCATTCAAGAGAGTTACCTCCCGCTTTTTGAGCAAAGTTTGAGATCTTTGAAAACTCAGGAAAGCAATTGCTTTGCAAAAATTACATTTTTCCTTTGCAAGGTTAAAGGCGTGAGCAAACATGTTGGAGGGAAGTCATAGCGTTTGACAAAGCACAACACTATTCTAGAAAAGTAATAAAGTTTTCCGGGCATTTCTTTTTAGGAATCTCTGAAAAATTCAATCAAGGGAACAAATGCTCTGCAGAATTGCAGTTAAAGTGAGCTTGTGAGCATAAATAATGTTGTGGAAGGAAGTTGTCCAGCGCTTCGCAGAGTAGAACATTACTTTAGAAAACTAAAATTTTGAATTCCGAAAGCAACTACTATGCAAAAATTCCCTTTTCTCTCACAAAGGGGGCGTGTGAGCAGGAACGATATCGTGAGAGGAACTCACACAGCGTTCCGCAGAGTAGAATATTATTTGAGATGTCATCCACTTTCGGGTTGAGCTATAAAACCTTCGATAATCTCGAATTTTGAAAGCAAAAATTCTTTTACCTTTCAAAAGGGTGAACATGTGAGCAAAAATATTATTGTGGAGAAAAAGTGTACGCGTCGCACAGAACAGAACACTATTTTGAGAAGAACGTCCCTTTTCTGGCCAGATCTTGAGAAAATTCCTTCCATGTTGGAAGTCACGTCCCGCAAAAGTTCTTCCTCATGAAAGTGAACAAAGAGAGCAAAAATGATGTCGTGCGAGGGAAATGTGCAGCACTCCGTAGAGCAAAACACTATTTTGAGGAGATATCATCCACCTTCCCCACAAAAGGTCGGCCGCCTCAATGGCGTGGGGGTGTCACTGATTGTCGAACTGCGATGCGCAACCGAGTGTATACTCTGGTAGGGTCCCTCAAGCAGTGAAGGAGTTCGAGTATCCGGTTTTGGCCGAATGCCTAGCTAAGAGCCGGCCAGGCCAGATCTCCGCACCTACAACGCCAGAACCTCTCCACAAACTGTGATCCCCGCGCTCTTCTCGACGCTGCGGAGCAGATTGAGTACCACATCATCGCTCTGCAGGAAACGAAGTCCAAGAAGAAGGACGTGCGACAGATGAGTAATGGGACCCTCATCATTCGTGGTGAGAAGGATCCATCACGAAACGTTGGAGGCGTTGGCTCTGTTGTCCACTCATCTATTGTTCATCTCGTCGATTCGGGGATCCTATCACCTCGAGTAGCCATCTACGACTACGACCTGAAAATGGAATGTCGTGCGGCAGAGCGAAGCCCAACGAGACGGTTGCCGTTTTCGGTTCCAAGCCCATATCCAAACTTCCCGATCCTATATTCCTCTTATGGCATCCCGATCTGCTGAATTCGCCCACAACGAACATCTAGAAGGACTTCTCAATGCGGACGATCTGTTCCACGTCTTCGCAGAAGCATCTAGTTCTGAGTCGTCAGCTCAGCTGCTGATGTTGGCAGTAGCAATGATTGTCTTCTGGCGTGGAGATCGCAGTCGTAGAATGGCTACTCGAGGTGATAGGATCTTATCGAACTCATCTCAAGAACTGGGGCATTTTTGAGGTGCAAAAATTACCGCTTTTTTGATTTTTTCGAGGAAATTTTTTCACAGACTGTGCTCTAAAATTGTAACACAGTCTATAAATTCGCCAGCAGAATTTCACATAACTACCGGATATGAGCTCTCCAGCTATTTTCGTGCCTGAGAAAATCCTGCAGTAACAGGCAGGATTTTAACACGTGTCGGACCGCGAAATCACGCGCGGCAAAAAGAGTGTACTTTCAGCCGTTAGCCAACAAAGGGACCTTATTTCGTAGACTATGTGTTATATCTGTAATCAGGATGTCAGATAAGCTCCATATCCCACGTTTTGAAGGAATTCGAAGTGTTTGAATTTTGTCACTTGAGAAGGACTGCCATGTTTTCTTGAAAGAGGGATAAGATCTCAATCTCTAATAGTATCCAAAAGTATTTATGTTGCACACTGTACATCAATACTACGACTAAGTTTTTTCTCAATCAAAGGAAGAAATATTGCGACATCGCACGCGTCGTTCGCATTGCCGCGCCCTGTTGCAACCGTTGTTTGATTTGTCCTCACATTTCCTAAACGAATACAGGCGGCACAGCTCCAAGTGAGAAAGCAGGAGCCTAGGCCTTAGCTTGATGCCCTTGAACTAAATGAAAACCTCTTGTGAACGTCAGAAAGATCCTTCAAATCAGCGTGCTGCACCATGTGCAGCACCGGTCCCAAACGTGTTAAGTCGACTCTTTTCCCTACTGCACATGCTGGTGGCCCCAAATGAAGCGCTGAGGACCCAACAAACTGAGCATAACCTGAAGACAACATTGCCTTTGCAGCGAAGTTTGCAGCTTTCAAAAAGGATCAATCTGCTTGAAGTTACAGCAGTCTGAAAAAAAGTTTCGCAAGTCCCCGAGAAGTTTTTTACGATCTGGTACATGCCAGCTCCTTACCCCACTAAGTTTCCGTATTCTCACTTTCTCAGCTGTGTCTACTTCACCTTTGTAGCTATGTTTTTGAAAAAAATCGATATTGATAAAAGAATGGATCTACGATGTACCTGGGTAATTCGAAAATTTTTCATCGAATGAATGAATATCGAATAAATTCGAAAATAAACAATCTCGAATAAACGAATATCGAATAAATTCGAGGTTCAAAAATTCTCGAATGAATGAATTCCGAATAAATTCAGAAAATCAAAAATAGCGAATGAATGAATATCGAAGATATTCGAACATTGAAAGTCGAATTTCGAATAAATATTCGAATGATTTATCGAATAACTAGAGCAACCATATCTCTAACTTGCTGACTTATCTGGCTAAAGCCGACATTCATAATCAGCACCCTATCCCCTATACCAGCTCCTAGCTCAAAATTTTCCGAAAATCGCTGAAATCGATAAAATAGATTTCGGTTTTAATCAGCATACTCATTTACCCCCGGATCAACTCCCAACCTCGTAGCTCAAGATTTTTCAAAAATCGACAAAATCGATTAAGTAAATTTTTATCCATAATCAGCACCCTCACTTACCCCCTTCCCAGCCCCGCAACAACGGTCGCCACATATGTACTTAAATGCCACAATGCTGATACATTGCCTGTTCATCGGAGACTCTCGTCTTGTGTGGTATAAGCTAGTCGTGGACGAAGTAATGTGGTTCACATTCCGCGAAGCGAGCACGATTGCCCCTAGTCCCGGGCATACTGCAGGCATTTCGCTGGCGACGTGGTTTGGCAATAGTCAAATTGTCCAAAACTTATTCTAATAGTACAGAATGCAGGGCATTTATCTTTTTAGTAAGTTGTACACGCTAAACTTTTGTGGTAAGCTCGCGTTACATTTGAAGACATCTTGTAACAGGCAAATCGCGCACGGCAATCTAAACCGTCTAACCCTCCACTACAACTGCGATGTCCTTTACTCAAAATACACCAATTCGCAAAAATCTCTAAGGTAGCGAATAGAGGGAGTTGTGCAATATAACTTATGCGAGCAAGAGTGCTCACTAGTGTGGGCTTTGCGTACCACAAGCATGAGCAATCCAAAGAAAGAAAACAGGCGTTTCAAAACACTTTCAATATATGAACTCGGAACATGAGTTTGAATTTGATAGCTTCTTTGCTGATTTGGTGTCATTAGCAGTGCGAACAATCTCATTGATTGAAAAAGCATCAATAAAATCACATATGATTTTTTTACTGTCAAGCAATCGGAAGAATGCGACCCTCCATACAGTTCAAAGGTCATAACGGTTGCAAAGGATGGACTACCGAGTTTTGCGAGAAAAAAACGCGGACGAAGTGAGCTTGATACTCAGCAGTTGGGTCTGCAACAAAGTCGAATAATCTGAATACGGTTTTCGTTCAAATACGAATTCGAATAAACATTCAAATAAAACATTCGGATAAAATCTATTCGAAACCCCGTTTTTTGATTAATCGAGTTTTCGAATTTTATTTGAGACTTCGTCTACTCAATTATTCGATATTATTCGAAAACGGAAGAACTCCGAATATCGAATTTCGAATACGAATATATTCGAATGTTTTATTCGAATGATCGAATTTCTATTCGATTCGGACCCAAGTATAGTCTACGAACGGTTATCATATTCATAATCAGCAGGCTCACCTTCCCTTATTCCCATGCCAGCTCCCAGCCCCGTAGCTCAAAGTTTGCTCAAAAATCCATAAAATAGATAAAAGTGAAGGATATCAGTTATATACTTGACTCATGATCCATGCTCACTCTCCTTATGCCAACTCTCAGTCCCATAGATCAAGCTATGCAAAAAATCGGTACAATCTGTCGAAAATTAGCGACATAGGCCCCGCCCATGTATGTGTGCAATGTTTGGTCTCGATTGGTTCAAAGAATGTCATATCACGTACACACGAACATCCATACGGACAGACGGACGAACAGACATATCTTATATATAAAGCTGAATGTCTGTTTGTCTGTATGTCTGTATGTCTGTCTGTATGTATGTATGTACGTAAGTTCCGAATAGAAAATTCCATTTCTGAACCGATCGGGACCAAACTTGGCACACATACACTTCGGGCCCCGGCGGGTGTCATAGGCTACTTTTCGTATCGATCGATATCGATTTTATCGATTTTTTGCAAAGTTTGAGCTACGCGGCTGGGATTTGGCACAGGGGGGTAATCGAGCATGCTGATCACCCCCGTGGGGGTGATCAGCATGCTCGATTACACCCCCCTGCCAAATTCCAGCCCCCTAGCTCAAATTTTGCAAAAAAATCGATAAAATCGATAAAAGTAATGCACGGTTTTGAAAACAAATATTGTATTCGTAATCAGCATGCTCGATTACCCCCCTGTGCCAAATCCCAGCCCCGTAGCTCAAATTTTGCAAAAAATCGATAAAATCGATATCGATCGATGACGAAAAGTAGCCTATGACACCCGCCGGGGCCCGTAGTGTATGTGTGCCAAGTTTGGTCCGGATCGGTTCAGAAATGGAATTTTCTATTCGGAACATACGTACAGACAGACAGACAGACATACAGACATACAGACAGACAAACAGACATTCAGCTTTATATATAAGATCAATAGAGTGAAGATTGCCTCGTGCGAAGACTATTGAGTTAATGTACAATTCTCTATTGAACGGGGCAAAAGTCATTTCCGAGTGGAAAGCAGTCATAAGGTTTTGAACAAACGGAAAAGGTATTGACGAAACGTGCTAAGAAAGAGGAACAAAAGCGAGTTATCACTACATGTTCGAATATAAAGATTGTGATATGGCGCTGTAAATGGTTATATTCACTTTCTACACCACACATATCTGAGCGACCTATGCCCTTGCGGCATTGAAGCAATTGAATCATTTGGTGCTATCGCAGTTCAAGCAAGCTCATACGTCAAACTACGTCATGCTGTCACATTTATGTAAAAAAGGGGTAGAGTGA